GCGGGGTGGGGGTCGGGCGGAGGCGCGACCAGGGCGGAAATCGCGGATGCCTTTATTGCTGTCGTTTGGCGCCCCCATCTGTTTTCCTCGAGGTTTTGGCGGCTGTGAGCGGCTTTCAATCCCAGAAGCCACGGCTGAGTTGTGCGATGCGTACACTGACCCTTCCACCTGCCCCCAGCCAGCGGGTCCCCCACTGCCTCCCGTCCTCTGGGACCCCTCACCTCAGGGCCCAATGTCTGCGCCAAACCTGCCTCGGTCTGTTGAAAAAGGGAAAACACCGTTTCGCAGGCACACTTTGGTTCATTAGGGTTCTGAAAACTCTATCGCACCTTTTTAAAAAAAACATATAGTTTATTGATCTTTTACAGAGAGGAAGGGAGAGGGATAGAGAGTTAGAAACATCGATTGAGAGAGAAACATCGATCAGCTGCCTCCTGCACACTCCCCACTGGGGATGTGCCCACAACCAAGGTACATGCCCTTGACCAGAATCGAACCTGGGACACTTGAGTCGAACCTGGGACCCTTGAGTCGAACCTGGGACCCTTGAGTCGAACCTGGGACCCTTGAGTCCGCAGGCCTACACTCTATCCACTGAGCCAAACCGGTCAGGGCTCTATTGCACCTTTTAAGTAACACTAACATTTTTCATTGGCCCGTGCATTATGACAAGTACATGTCAGGGACACTGCTCACTGTGGAAGGCGCCTATTATTTTTTCACTAAACTGCGTTTAGCAGACAAGGTTTCACAGGAGGCAGTGAAGATTCCTTTACAATGTTTCATGCCCCTTCGTTTATTTAGATTCCACACCCACAAGTAATAGTAATATTGGCCAACTTCTAGGTAGCTTTTACTCTGAAAGCACAAGTGCTTTTTACATCTGTCATCTCCCCTACACCTCACAGCAACTCTAGAAATCAACTGTGTTCTTACCCCTTTCTCAGAGGTGAGAAGCCTTCCGCACAGAGAGGGTGGGGGGATTTGCTCCTGATGTGAACTTACTTTGGATAATATCCACGTTATAAGGTATACAAACTCTGGGCAGCGTTTTTTTGGTTGGGTTTCTCGTTTTGCATGTATCTCCTTCAAATCCAGGCCTAACTCCCAGACGTTGAGCCTGTGTATGCAGGGTAGGTAGTAAGAAGATTAACACAGTTCTGTTGGTGTTTATTAATGAAATGCCCAAACCTTGCACTTCTCCCAGAAAATCGGCTGAAACTGGAAGTGGGCTTTGTCAAGTGTCCCCACTTTTTAAAGACATAACTTTAGGGCTATCGCAGCCTCCTACCAAGGTACAGGCCTCAATAAAACAAGACAAGGATCCACCCCATGTCCTCACACTTTGACAGGAGCTTTTAATGCGCATTGAGGGTGAGGGTGTGGAAAGGATTTTCTCCAAATGGATTGAAAAACAATTTTTGCTCAAAAGGAGGAATTTCAGGAAAAAGGCCTAATTTGAGGGACGGGGAGGCATTCAGACCAAATATTTGTTTCTTGCGGAGCGGCAGGTTCTCCACTTGGGTCAATTGAAGAGAATAAAAACTTGTCCGTGCTACTGGAGAAGAGGGGAGGGCACCCCCCGGACCACGGGGCACAAATCCCACCGCCGCTTTGGGCCGCAAGCTCGCTGGGCGCGGGATGTGAGGGAGCAGCTGTCTGGGTAGAGCCTGAGCTGCGAACCCCGGGCACATTTTCCTGAGGCTGAGCGAGTTCCCCACGGCTTGGAGGTTTCTTGGAGGTTTCGGTTTATGAGGGAAGACGCTGGTTTGGGGAATCCAGGCCTGACTCGAACTGGCAACTTTTTGCAGCCATCCCTGGCAAGTCAGCCTTGAGTTTCTGCCTCTCTCGGGCCTTTCTGGCTGCTTCTATTTTCCTCCTTCTTCCCCCTAGAATCCCGCACCCCACCTGAGGGGAGGATGGAGGAGTACTTTCTCCATGAACTCTGGAGGGGCTACCTAGGCACACTGCCTGTCTGAAACTTGTGCGCCCAGAGACGTGACAGGAAAACTTGCAGGGACATCTAGCGCCAGGCCTGGGGAACTGCGCGCCGCCGGTCAGGGAAGCGAAGCCTGACCGCTTGTCCCTTCTCCCTCCCTGCGCCCCCCACCTCCACCTCACCCCGCGCCCCTTGGTCCTCAGGCATTTCCCTAACCTTCATCCCGTGGCGGTGCGGCTGACCACACCACACGTGCATTTATGGTAGAGACAGCGGAATGGGGGGTGGGGGGGGGACGAGGAGAGAGAGAGAGAGAGAGAGAGAGAGAGAGATTCTCTGTCATCCATTCCATAAGGGTCGACAGAGTTTGCACTTTCCGGACTTCAGTTAACCATAATATTGCTAAACAAGTGTGTTCCGAGGACAATCCCACACCTTGAGATGTGGACAAAGCGGCAGAAAATCGCTGCGGTCTCAGCTTTTGTCTTGACAAAAAAGCAAAAGTAACCCAGGTTCCCAATTCTGGTCCCACCCTCTGGCGCCCCCTCCTCAAGGAGGTTAGTGCTTCTCTGAGAGGGATGATGCTCCCAGAGTTCAATTCCCACAGGAAATGGAGGGTTCTCTCCGTCCCCAACAGGGCCAGCTGCCCTGTGGGAGGCAAACCTGGTCTCACCAAAATGTGCTTTGGGTTTGGAGGGGGTTTTCTTAGCTGCAAACAATTTACATTAAATAAATTCTAATTCTGTTGTTAAATCCAAATGGAATACTTCTCAGATCTAAAAAGTGCTCAAGGCAGGATTCCATTGTCTGGCTTTTGCTAGAGACCCTTTTCTTCACCCTTGGTTTGTTGTTGTTGTTGTTGTTTAAATTCCTTTGGATATTTCCAGCGTGAGTGAAACTGGGTATTGTCTGCAGTGGGAAAATTAGTTCCAAAGTTGTCAGGGCACAGACTTGGTTAAGTACACTGTCCAGCCACACTCACTGGGTTTAAGACTTTATGTTGGAATTAAGACTGTTTCTACACTGAATTTTTGGCATCTAAGTTAATTAGGAGGGTGTCCCACTCTGACAGGATTTGATCATTGTTGCCCTAGCGCTAATGGTCACAGATCATGTGGTTAATCGGTAGCTCACTGCTGTCTTGACAAGCAGAGGACTTACGTTTGTCCATAAATCTAAATCACAGCCTGCACCTACCTGCTCCCCACCCAAGGACAGGGACACGGTTTGAAAGATCATCTACAAGGAGGAAAAAAAAGAATGCTACTTCAATATTTCAGAATATGACTGATTCCCAAAAAGGGTGTTTGTGGAAGGAAAGAAGGAAGGGGAGTAAGTGAGAAGAGGAGAGGGCAGAGTTAATCCGACTTTTTCTCTCCCTGGCAGAGTGGGACTTAGGACAATGAGGGTCTACTCCGAGTTTCTCCCCAAAATCAGGAAAAGTGGCAACACTGATTTCACTGAATAACACATCGGTGTTTGGACACATTTATGGCCGCAAAAGATTTTCATTTAACAAAGACTATTTATTTCTGTTGTTAAAGCCCCAACTAATACACCCACACGCAGTCTGTACTCCTGGCCAGTTTAAGAAAATTATTCCTATTAACTTTAAACCTGAGATGAGCTTGGACATAGGGTATACAAGCTAAATGAAATGTTTCTGCAAATTCAGCCTCAAAATTCCTTCCCTAACTACCACCCCTTGCTTGTAAACTCTGTGTCTTATTGGTTCATAAAAAGAGCAGCCCTGACTTGGTCTGGTACTCAACCACAGCCCTATAATCCAATAGCAGCAGCTGACCTGGGGTGCTGGGTTTAGGGGCCCTCATAGGGTCCAGTCAGAGACACTTGCCTGTGGGGAATGCCTCTCCTAGGATGTAAGGCTACACTGGAGGCAAGGGCAGTAGTAGCAGGATAGCAAGAGGCAATGCTCTTTATTGTTCAAAGTCTCCCTGGTCTCTGAACACTCCCAAGATTCCTCAGAGAAACCCCAAGTCCTGCAGGAGACCCAGAGGGCAACTGGAGGCAGGGCCACCATTGAGAACTGTCTTTCAACCAGGGCACTCATCCAGACTTTCTTTCCAGTCCTGCAGAGCTTAACTTGCTGCATAGGAAATTCAGCCAAAAGTGAAGTGTGGTCTGAAAACAGCCAACCTTGACAAGTTCTTGCTTCCTATTTTAATATCACTTTCTTCATTCTTTAGCATATAATCAGTTTTTAAGAGGTATTTGTCAGATAGAAAATCACACAGATGTCCCAGAGTACAAAATCATAGGGATATTTAGTTTTAAGAGACTGAAAGTTCATTGGTTCCAATTATGTCTTAGAAATATTTCAACAAATTTGTGTGTGTGGTTTTTTTTGAGGCCACAGAAAAAAAATCTAAGTATCTTTGTCTTCTCTCTCTCTGAGAAAAAAAGAAAGGGAGACAAAGGGGAAAGTAAGGGCATTTCAGAATAGCATCCCAAGATTGGTTTGTTGGGTAAAGAGAACCTAGCCATACTCTCCTAAAAAGCCAGTCACTGTCACCTAACCCTGACTGGCATTTTCTTTAATGCCGGTGCAGCTTCCATTGCTAACTTTTGCATTCTCTCAAAATTGTTTTCATCAGCAAATTCCTATTCCCTATGATTTTTTTGCAAAGGCTTAGGCTCCTCCTGTCTCAATTTGATCAAGAACATGTCCAGGACTTCAAAAAGGTCAAATTCCCCCGCTTTTCCTTCCCAGCACCCCTCTCATAACTTTCCCCTTTATTTGAGCCTTTTATGGTTACTGGGTTTTGCGTGTCAACACTCCCAACACCAGCAGCCCACCCTGCAGTGTCAGGCCAGGCCCAGGAGGGCTCTCTTACTCTGCCCCAGTAAAAGGCCCCTGCTCTGGTATTCTGCCCCGTCCAGATTCTGTCTGGGATCCAGGAACAGCAGGTCTAGGTGACAGGCTGGCTTCACCAATCACAGGCTCAGGGGAGTGATTTCCTTGGAGATGGGCCGGCCTGGGGAGTTGATACTAAGAACTCAAATGGACTCATTCGGAGGGCTCCGACACCCACCCCAGAATCCTCAGCTATTCGCATGTCTGTCCTAAAGTGGAACCTTAGAGTCACCGAAAGACTCACTATTCATGATTGAGATGGAGGAGGGTGGACTGGGGTTCAATGGCTGAAGACTGACACAAAGGGATGAAGAGGGGTCAGGGCTGTGATTCCTGGCACACTCACAGGGCTGCCGGCAGCCCACTCTAACCTCTCGAAGTCAGAACCAGTTGCTCTGGGCTGCTTCTATCACCAGCCCCAACTTTGCTTGGGGGGCGGAGGGTGGGGGAACACACCCGCCCTCTTAATTTGCCCCTCTTAGGTCTCTGCAGTTGGCAGCTAGGAAAAGAAAGCGAAACAAAGGTTCCTGGGAAAGTGAAGTTTTCAATTAATTGGTGTGAGTGACGGGAGGGGGCGGCGCGGGGAGGGGGGGGTGGCGGTGGCTGCAAAATGCCAGAGACCGGTTGGCTGCAGGCGAGGCGCTTAACTTTTGCGCCCGGCGGCAAAGTGGCGTTCGCCTGGAGCCCTCAATTAAAAGTTGTGGGGGAGGCTGCGCCAGGCCTGGGGAGTCCGGCTCGGGAGATGACTCCCGGCTGGCCCGCGTGTAGCGGCGAATAGCGTGGACCAGGCACGGACTGTTCTCGCCGGGGCAGATCGTGAGCTGGACTTATTGTAAGTCTCTGCGTTTGGCCCCATGGGCGCTTTGTGAGCATTTCCAGGCGGACAACGGGTATAAGTAGGGTCTGCTGCCATCGGTCTTAATTCGGAGGATCCGCCGAGATCATATGCGTGAAACGCCTTTGCCCCCCTAGCAAGGTTGTGAAAATTAGCTCTCTCGGGTTTAGGGTCTAGGTCAGCGAATCCGAGTAATTGAGCAACAGGATGAAAAATCGGTCTGTTTTCACATCATTCTGACATTCTCTGTCGTTCCCCTTCATTTAGTTGTGCAACTCGGGAGCCAAGGAGAGGTGGCAAAAGCAGCCTTAGCGGAGGCAAGGCGCAGGCCTCAGAGCCCGCCTCAGTCGCAAACAGGGCCTAGGGTGGTTGGTCGCGCAATCAGCTCGTGGGGGTGGCTGCGGCGCAAACGCCAGGGTCCCC